TCACCCCTGAGCCTGGACATTTCCAGGCTGAAGAGTCCCATGGCTCTCTGCCTCTCTTCATAAGGCCTGTTCTCCTGCCCTCTGATCATGTGTGTGGCTCTCCTCTGGACTTTCTCAAGCTTCTCCACATCATTCTGGAATTGAGGAGCCCAGAATTGGACGCAGTAGTCCAGCTGTGGCCTCACCAAGGCCAAGTACATTGGGAGGATGACATCCTGAGATTGGCTTTTGAAATGTCTATGGATGCAAGCCAGAGTTTTGTTCACTTTGCCAGCTGTGATATTGCATTGGTGGCTCATGTTCATCTTGTGGTCAATCATGACCCCCAAGTCCCTTTCAGCTGTGGTGCTAGCGAGCGTAGCACTGCCGAACCTATAAGTGTGATGCGGGCTTAATTTCCCAAGGTGGAGTAACTTGCATCTGTATTGAATGTCATCGGGTTTTTATCCGCCCACTTTCTAAGCCTATCAAGGTCAGGCTGGATCACCAGCCTATCCTTGGGTGTTGATGCTCTACCCCAAAGTTTGGTGGCATCAGTCAACTTGGCCAGTCCATTTCTGGCACCAGTGTCCACATCGTTAGTAAAGACATTAAAGAGAACAGGTCCAGGAACGGAGCCTTGGGGGACACGACTGGTCACGGAGCACCATAATGGTTCACATCTGTCAACTACCACTCTCTGGGTCCAACCTCAGAGCCAATTCCCCAGCCATCAGACTGTGATGTAGCCAAGGCTGCAGTTGGCCAATTTTTCCAAGAGGAGATTATGGGACACCAGATCAAAGGCTGTTTTAAAGTCCAGATATATGATGTCAATCTCTTCTCCCTTGTCCAGGTGATATGTCACCTAGTCATAGAAGGAGATGAGATTGGTCAGGCAAGACCTACCCGCAAAAAACCCATGCTGGCTATCCCTCAGGATGTTGCCATCAGCCAGCTTGTCTAGAATCGTCTCTTTGATCATTTTTTCCAAAATCTTCCCAGGGATGGAGGTCAACCTGATTGGCCTGTAGTTCCCCGGAGCTACTTTCCTCCCTCTCTTGAAGATATTGGCCTTCTTCCAATCTTTGGGTACTTTACCTGAGCGCCATGAGTTCCTGAATATCCTTGCCGGTGCCTGGACTATGATGCCTGCCAGATCCTTCAGTACTCTGGAGTGCAATCTGTCAGGACCAGCTGACTTGAAGGTATCCAGCCTCTCAAGGTGTTTCTTTACAAGGTCTACACTGATCCTGGGTATAAATTCACCCTCACCCTGGCCGTCCCGCATCATGTTAGGCAGGGCAGTCCCTTTGGGCTGGTGAAAAAATGGATGAAAAGCTGGGTGTGATGATGTTGCCCTGAATGCTGGAACAGGGACAGTTTTGAGCCCAGCCTCTTGGGGCTCAGTTTGTCATTTCCCTCTGGGATACAGGAATTGTATGGAAATAAAGGACTAAGAGAAGCTCAAAGGGCTTTTGCGGCTGGTGTGAGGGCTGCTTCTGGGGCAGGCCAGGGACTGTGCAATGCAAATGGGAGAGATTCATGGTTGTGTCTGTCCTTAGCAGAAATTAGAGAGAAGTAGATCTCTGCACTGGGGGAAAGTGCTAGGTCCTGGGCTAAGGAAGAGTAAAACAATTTGGCACCTCTGACATATCACAGCCAGGGAGCATTGGTGCTCCATGCATGGAGAAAAAGGGTCACAATTGAATAAAATTCCCCCTTCTTCATTTACTACTGGATATTGCTGCATTTTAATTGTCCTTTATGTACCATCCAATACTACGTTCCATTTTACTTCGTTCACATGAGTTGAGTGGGTCATTTTCTTGTGTGCTTTCCCCAGTGATGCCAAATCCTGTCACTTCATGGCTCTGTCACAGGTAATTTTATGGTTATTTGATGGCGTCACTTTAGTGAACACTGTAAATAAAGGAGGATGTTGCAGAGGGGGAGCCGACTGCACTGGTGCCCCCATGCATACACCGCGCTTTCCTCTGCAGTGGTGGCTTCCCAAGAGGGGCTGTGGCTGCAGCAAAGCCCAGCAGACAACCCCAGGGCAGACTGCAGAGCTGCACTACACTGTTTTATACCAACAATCATTCGCATAATGGTACAAAGAGTGTCAGAAGGGCAGTCTGGAATGGCCCAGAGTGGTAAATTTGTAAGAGCAAAAGGAAGACACTCGAGTAGAGTGAGCAGCACCAGGAACGCTCTCGCTAATCATCAACAGTTGTGTCCTTGATGTCTCTACACACGCCAACCTTGGGAACGGGACCAGGCTGATCATCTCCAGAGAGTTTCCAACAGGTCAGAAATTGTCAGTCCAAGGACAGAAGGCAAAAAAATTCCCCTTTTGGACAACTCTGCCCCACTCCCACTTCCCCCTCACCCCCCCGGTGTCAGCTCCAAGCTGGGAGTGAGCTCACGGCCAGCAGGGGCCAGGCAGTGTCCAGGGCAGGGGGTGGGAACAGGAGACCTGGGCTCTGGGTCTCACTCAACAGACCCAGGATTTCAACCATCTCAGAGTGGGAGCCCAAAGACACGGCCGGGATTTCCAAGCTGTGCAGCCCCAGCAGCCAAGACCCCAGCACAGGGAGCTGGGTGCTGGACACCAGGGAGAAATCTGCCCCCGAGCTCCTGTCCCACAGACTCCCCCTGCAGCCCATGCGACTGAAGGGGCTTGTGTGAAGGTTCATGTCATGGTTCAGGCTGCACCAGGCAGTTTCCCCATCTACCCATGGTGTGGTAGGGAGTGAACACCCCCCTGTCCCTGGCTGTGTATTTCTCACCCCCCTCCCCACTCCCATCCCCCATGGAGAGACTGAGGGGGAAAGGAGGGAGGGAGACAAGAAACATGTTGGCTGAACCCGGGGGCCGCCATTCAGGCAGATGGGAAGGGATCCACCTTGGAGATGTCCACTGATGGCTCTTGTGCTGCGCTGCTCCTTCCTAGCTCTCATGGCCATTGGGTAAACTGAGGCACAGAGCAGAGAAACCAGTAGCTCTCCAGGGACACTGGGCAAAGCAGTTGCCAGGGGGTTTACTATCTCCCCGGTTCACCTTGTTCTCACCAGACCAGGTCTCCCTCTCTGACCTGTGCCCCAGGCAGCCACTGCCGGCACTGAGACAAGAAACCCTGGTAAAAATACCTGTGTCCATATCCCGTCAGAGGTTTGGTGTTGAAACTGGGGTAGACAAAGCCCTGGGCATCTCAGCTCTCCTACTGGAGCTGGGTGGACAGAAGCTGACCTCTGGGGAACAGCCTGTGTCCCCCCATGGCCTCTGGCTCTGATGCTCCCATTCTCGTGCAGATGCCCCCTCAGCCGAGCCTCGCCATCCTGGTGCCTTTGCCCCCAGAAGAGACTGACCTCCCAGACCCCGTCCCCCTGCTCTGCCTGCTCTCCCCACAAGCTCTGAAGTGGAGGGCATCTCTCTGAGACGTCGGGCACAGCTGTCCAGGGCAAGCAGACAGACGAGCCCTGGATGTGGAAGGCACATGGAGCCTGACAACAGTCCCCAGGGAGAGGTGGGTCACAGAGATGTGTTGCACCTGCACTGCCAGAGACAAGGAAACCAGGAGAAACATCAGTGCTGCTCCATCCAAAGGCACTGCCACAGCATCACAGGGTAGGTGAGGCCTATCCCAGGGCATCTCCCCTGCCTCTCCTCTTGCCCGCTCCCACCCACAGGCTCTGTGCCCTGCTCTCAGCGTCTCCTCTTCCCGCAGGGCCCTGCTAAGTTGCACTATGGCTGAGGCTGCCCTGTGTCTGCCTCCTGCTGATCCAGGGCCTCATCCTGCTCTCCACCAAGTGCCCCTGCACAGGTAATGGCCGCAGCATGCTCTGGGGTCTGGCCCCCAGCCCCATCCCTGCCCCATTAATGGCCCCTGCTCTGCTTCCTCCAGCAGGAAGAGCAGCAGCACCAGGGAGCAACGTGCACCTGAGGCAGAGCCCAGAGGTAACTGCTTCTCTAGCTGTGTCACAAAGATGCTCAGAACCAGGATCTAGGCTCATCCTGGCCTGGTACCTCCAGGTCAGCTCTCCAGCAACTCGGTGCAGTCGCCACAGTAATCATTGATTCCCCTCTTCCCCACTGCTGTCAGCGCTGTGCTGGGTTCATGGCGCAGAACAGCTGTGTCCACCCCAGAGGCGGCTGCATGTCTGTGTGGGGACACGGCGCTGTGTGGTGGGTATTGCAAAAGAAAATCCAGGCCAGGACATTTATTAACCTGAGAAAACTCCCAGGAAGCAGGTGAATGGACGGGGCTGTGTGATCTAATGGGACACATCAACCTTGGCAGTCAGGGCAGGACACCTGAGTCCTCTTTCTGGCTCTGGGTCTGAGCAGCTGAGGGATCATGGCCAAGTCGTGGCCCCTCTTTGTGCCTCAGTTTCCCCTCCCACTTCCTGTGTCCGGACTTCCCTAAGGTATCAGCACAATCCCTTATCCGGTGCTCATACAGCACCAAGCACTGTGGGGTGCAGACGTCAGCCGGGGTCTTCGGGCTGTGCTACCCACAACTGATGCGAGATCTCTCCTCTTGTGTTGCAGGCAGAGCATGCAGCTGTGAACCATGGTGGCAGAAATGCTCCTGCATGACTGATGTGTTCAGATGTTCACCTTTAAAATAAAAAGTGTGGGGACACACGTGTGCACAAGGCCGAGGCACATGAAGCCAAGGAGCTTCCCAGTGTGTGAGCGTGTGTAGGAAACAAGGTGAGAGGGAGGCTGGCCATCGTACATAGGAGATCACGTCTCAGACCCTGCATTCCAGTGGCAAGAACCAAAAATTATCAAGGGGGAAACAGTACAGGGGACAGGACATGCTTTTTATTAGACAACAGAGATATTAGGTACTTTTCGGTCAGAAAGTCAGCCTCACATCAGCTCCCTGTGAGGCAGAGCAGGGAGCATACATGCACCATGCAGGCTCCCACCATCCTGCCCCACCGCCCCGGGTCCTCTGGGCCTAGGCCCTGCACACACCAGGGGCTGCAACGTCTCCCCGCAGACTGCAGTCACCCCAGCCGCACTGCCTGTGTCTCATGGTAAGAAACCTCTGACCTCCTGGCCCCCGAGTTCAAGATCTCCTGCTCTGGATCCCTAGAGCGGGGGCAGAGTTCACCCTTGCAGTCGCACTGTGGAGCTGGTCTGGCGCAGATCATCCCCGGGCAGCAAGAAGCAGCGAACGCCACGGAGCAGCGGTGAAGGGAACAAGAGGCAGCAGCTTGGCAGGGACCGGCTGGGGGTTTCCAGGCCCGATTCCTTTGTGCTCGAGACTTTCCCTGTTTCCCTTCCACGGGGGCTAAGTCCGGGTCCTCCAGCGGAGCCAGGATCACGCTGTGGCTGGGCACAAACTCCCCGACCCTGTGTGACCACAGGGGCAGCATCAGATCCCAGCCAGAGCGAGTCTGTGCTGGGCTGGCCATGGCAGCAGGTGGCACTTTCCCATTGGGTCCTAGGATTTCTATGAAACCCCCTGCTGCTTCCAGCCTGGGAACGGCCCTGTCCCATACAGGAGATTCGCAGTGATGTCTTTTGTGTTCAGCCCTGGGAAAACAGCAGCTCCCCAGATCTGCCCCAGGCCAGGCTGAGTATGGGACTCCCTGCTGCAGAAATGTGGGGGAGTCGGGAGGGATCAGGATTGTGCAGAGCCAGGCAGACAGGACGCAGCGAGCTGCTCTCAGTGTGGTGCTCTCAGTGTCCTGGGGACGTGGCCCAGGATTCACAGATCTGGAGCTGAAAGGCTACTAGGCCGTGGGAGTGATGGGACGTGCAGGTTACCTGGACTAGAGCAGACGCACATCCAGAGGGAGGTCAGAGATACCATCAGCAGCACCAGGAGACCCACCACCATGTAGTGCATGGCCTCCTGCCTGCACCCGCTGCGAGGGGCTGGGGAGGAAGGGGACAGCAGAGGAGCATTAGGAACAGAGACCACCCTGTTTACCCCTTGAGCCCTTCAGGCTGCAGTTTCCGGCATTCGTCATGTGTGCACCCCAGGATCTAGTCTTATCCAACAGAGGAGGAGGCTGGAGCCCATATGGGTTTGGGCTTTTCCTGTGGACAGAAGCTGGAGGGTGGAGGTTTGCCCATGACCAGCATCACCACTGCAGAGCCCACCGTCCCCCTCAGCCTGCCTGCCCCTCACCCACACACGCACATCGCTCACTCCAGAGATTCCCATCGCTCCTTGGCTCTTCTTCCCCTCTACTGTTGTCTGCTTTGCCCCAGAGGTGAAGGAGTCTCTTGACAGTCAAGGGAAAAAGGGGGATGCTGGGAACATGGGGCCTTTCCCCCTTCCTCAGTGTCTCTGCTAATGGGGAAAGGTCTGCGAGGAACAACAACCTTCCAGCCCTGCAGCTTGCCAAGCAACACACAAGCTTGATATTGCAAATGTGGTTCTGAGATCCTTGTTCCAGGATTTTGGCCCTGCAGTGAAATGCAGCCAGGGCTTCACCCATGTTATTGACTATTTCCATACTAGGAGCTGGCACAGAAGCACTCACGTGCAGAATAGACGGCATGTCTGGTGACGCTGCTGCCAGATGAGTTGAACGTGACCTCACAGGTGACGGTCGTCCCGCTGGCCCAGCTGGCCCAGGGGATGCTGATGTGATGGATGAGTGTTAAGGACCCAGCACTGGCTTCCAGTGAGTGCGGCAGCCCCTGGGTTGGCTCCTCTCCGGGAGCCCCCCAGGACACCTGGACCAGGTTGGAGACACCCCGGATCACACAGGCCAGATGTGCAGGATCTGTGGCTCCGTTCTCCCCTGCAACAGGGCCCAGGAGCAGCACGGAGCTGTCTTTGGTGAAGCTGTCTGGGCAGAAAGGAAGATGAGAGTTCATGGGCAGACAGAGCTGAGCTACAGCCTGGCCACAGCTGTGGGTCTGTCACCAAGAGATTAACAGAGATACAAGTCTACTGGGGAATAAGGAAATGTGCCATCTGCTGCCGAACTGGAAGAGAGGAACCAACTCAAGGCACAGTCATCCTAGCCAGGAGAGAGCCAGGCAGCCTTCTCAGGGCAGCACTAGCAGCTTCGGGAGTCCGTCACGGCTCGGAGGGAGAAACATGCCCAGCCTGGCTGCACAGACCAGCCCCACAGAGACCCCAGCACTCCCCTGCACCACTTGCCAGGTTTTCCCTGGGAAAGAAGCCAGATAGCCCGTTCTCTCTCTGCCTCCAACAGCTAATGCTGAACCCATTTTACTTGGCTAAAAACACAACTTCTTTTCAGCTATTTACTCTTATATATTCTTACAGTTTCTAATGGAACATGAGCAATGAGACACTCAGATATTTCTAATGAAAGAAGCAATGCTTCGTTACCTCCAACGATCACCGTGGTTCCCTTCCCAAAAGTCAAGGAGCTGGTGGTTGCATGTGCACAGTAATAAATGCCAGACTCCTTCCTTTGCATGTCCCAGATTTCCAGGGTTGTGCCGTATTTCTGATGTTTGCAAGCAAATTTGGGCCCTTTTGTATCATCCGCACAGTCCTTCCTGTGCATGGGGGCCTCACCCGCCCTTCTCAGATACCAGTGCAATTTTGCTCCCCCATCCACATCCTTGCTGGAGGAGCAGTGGATCTCTGCTGTCCCACCGACTTCCACAACCAGGAACCGCTGAGGTTGGTGCAGGTGTAGCTGGACTCCCAACACTGTGGAAACACAACAGAGCCCAGCACTGCAATCTGTGTCCTGCTGAGGTACTTCGTGTCCCTGATCCCAGGAGCACGGTGCTGAGAACCGTGTGGGGGACTTACCTAAGCATGAGAGAAACAGGGACTTGGCGAGGAACATGATGGCCACGAGTATCCAGCCCCTCCGGCCCAGGGCTGCCGTCTAAGTGCAGAGCTGCAATGCAAGGGCTCAGGGCTGGTTGTTTC